ACGTTAGCTTCCCCGTTGGATTTTTACACGAAGAGAATGATTTCACTCAATATCTAAAAATTTATCTATATATCATTCGGATAAATCCGAAAATTTTTAGAAACTTGAGAAAAATCGTTCTTTTCGTGTAAATATCCTCTGGGTACTGAGCCCCCTCACCACGTCAAGGCGTACCCGTGAGAGGGATAATATCATCTGAAAAATGTAATATACAGCTATTATTTATATTTCTACGCAATTATCGGTTGAATTTTAGAAATGAATATCAAACACACTCAATTTGTCACCATTGCGAAATAAATTCAGAGTTTATTAAAAGGGCTGACTCTCTTATTACGATGTCTGTAAGATATAATTAGAGTCAATGGAATGGGCTAGAGATTAATAAAAAGAAGGAATATTTCTTTCACTATCGACAAACAGTTTTAAGTTACATTCAATTTTTTATCATATCACGAAAAATGTAATTCATAAAACACAAATTAATTAAATTGTTAATTACACAATTTATATTAATTGTTAAAGTAGGAATCGCATAAATCGCGTTATTTGCATGAGGGTGTTAACGTAGCTTTTTTATGATCGTGTGATATCGTTCAAAAAATAATCGAGAGTTGTACTCAAGCGAAACAAAAATGTTACATTTAATAAAAATAATTGTTGTCCGTATTTATTGCGAAATAGTAATAAATTTTATTTTTCCATCTCGATTCTTTTATGAATGTTAATTGAAATACGTGCTAGTAATCTGTGAGTATTCATAAAGTATAATGTTTCATATTACCTAGCACTTATCGCACATATTACGTTTGAAAAAGAAATGTAAAGAAGAACGCGACCTGCCTGTACGAGCTTCGGTAATGGAATGACTGCGTATGATAATTTCGCATATACGTAACGCGCCGCTCGTCCGCCCTTCCTCACCAAAACAATTCCCAAGGTTGCGCGCCGATCATCTAACTGTCGAAATATTAACATATATTACAAAATCAGTAAAATAATTTAGTCGTTACATTTTTAAGATTCTTCGATAAATGGAGAAAATAAGGCTTTATTGCACGCGATCTTTGCTTTATTTCTTGAATTCATTACGCACACAACTTATCTATAGCTTAGATATTTAAAATTGTGTTATAATAAGTGATTAGTTTATAATAACTTATTTTTACACGAAATCCGCGCAATGTACGCAATAAACATTTTTAAATACTTGAGAAAAATCGTTTTTTTCGTGTATATCCTCTGGGTACTAAGCCCTCTCACCACATCAAAGTGTACCCGTGAGAGGGATAATTTGAAAAATGTAATATATAACTATTATCTATATTTCTACGCAATTATCAGAATTTTAGAAATGAATATCAAACACACATTAATTTGTCACCATTGCGAAATAAATTCAGAGCAGATAAAAGGGCTGAATCTCTTATTACGTTGTCTGTAAAATAGATTAGAGTCAATGGAATGAGCTAGAGATTAATAAAAAAGAGAAATATTTCTTTTATTACCGATAAATAGTTTCAAAGTTACGTTCAATTTTTTTATCGTATCATGAAAGATGCACGAAAACGAAAAATGAATTAAATTATTGATTATACAAATTATATTAATTGTGAAAGTAGAAATCGCATAAATTGCGTTATTTGCATGAGAATTTATTAATTAAAAGTTGCTTTATTATGACTCGTGTGATACTGTTTGAAATATAATCGAGAGCTATATACTCAAGCGAGACAAAAATTTTTACATTAACCAAAAATAATTGTCATCCATAATTATCGCGAAATAGTAATAAATTCCATTTTACATCGCGTTTTGATTACAAATGAATGAACCATACGAAATATCTATTCCATGATATACGATTGTCATCTCGATCCTTTTAAGAGATCCAATTAATCGTGCGAGCTAGTAATCGTATATTGTGAGTATTCATAAAGTATAATATTTCGTATAATTATATCAAGCATTTTTCATGATTACGTTTTAAAAAAAAATGTAAAAAAGAGCGGCACGTAACACAGCTACCTGCCTGTACGAGCTTCGATAAGAGAATGACTACGTGATAACTGTGCGTAAACATGACGCGCCGCGCCATCCTTCTCGCCTGCGACAAAGCAAGGTCGCGCGTCGATCTAACTGACGAAATGTTAACGTATATTACAAAGTAAAATAATCTATTAATTCGTTACATTTTTAATATTCTCTATTAAAGTAGGCTTTATTGCACGGTTTTTGCTTTACTTCTTATATTGATCATTACGCGCACATTTCTTCTATATATTAGGTATTTCAAATTGTGTTACAGTAAGCGATTATTAGTTTGTTATAACTTTTTACAACACAAAATCCGTGCAATGTACGTAATATTTTTAACAAATTGTCGCATTGTAATTTTTTGTTACTTTTGAATCATTTAATTCCATCATTTATGTCTTAATTCCGCATTCTTAATCCAGGAAAAGTAATAGGTAAATTATATTTAAATTATATATCTTTAAATGTATATAAATGTTAATTATTCACATTATTCTATTTCGTCCAAATCGTTATATAATGGAAAAAAAATGTTTGCATTTATAATATATATATATATAATTTATTATTAATTTTTATTTAATTGTATATAAGTTAAAAAGAACAATAAAAATTAAAATTTAATGTTCGGATCTCAAAAACACTTCACGTGAGCAATTATGTATATAAAAAACCACTTGCATTTTGTCAGCACATTAGTTGATATATGAAATATTTAAATTTATAAAATAAAGATCAAATATGTTCTTCATTGTATCACGATGTAATTACGGTATCATATTAAACGATTTACGTCGCTAAAACTAAACTGCTCGACAAAATACTGATAATTAGATTTTATTTTGTTCCACGTAAAGTTAAATTAACAATATACTAATATATAAGGCTTGGCCGTACATATTTTTAAAGAAAAAGATAAAAGTTATTTAGAATTTATTATGTTAAAAAACTTCTTCTGACTATTTTCTTAATTATATTTTAAATAAGTTTTCGGAACTTATTTTGTATGTACTTTTAAATAAATTGTATCAGTCAGGGTCGAGCGTATTAAAATTTTATTTAAAATACGTATTTTAAATAAAAAAAAATAAAATATTTAGTATTTATTATTTAAAAATATTGTTCTGACTTTCTTCTTACTTAATATTTTAAGTAAGAAGAATTTTAAGTAAGTTTTTGAAATCTAAAGTACGACGTTTTGTATTATTTCTCGCAAATACATTTCTAAAAAAAAAAAAAAAATGAGAAGAGCGGCACGCGGCACGGCTACCTACTTGTACGAGATTCGGTAAGGGAATGACTGCGTGGTAACTTCGCATAAACGTGACGCGCCGCATGCGTCGCACCGCCCGTCCTTCCACATCAAAAAAAACAATCACCAAGGCCGCACGCCAACCGTTTAACTTCGAAATAACGCATATTACAAAATAAATAAAATAATTTATTCATTATATTTTTAATATTCTCCGACGAATAGATTTTATTGCACGGTTTCTGCTTTATTTCTTACATTCGTTACGCACACAATTCATATATGTATATTAGATATTTTAAATTGTGTTACAAATAAGCGATTATAGTTGGTAATAACTTTTCGTTACACAAAAACCGAGCGTTCTCATCATTCGACTACCAAGGCTTTAGCAATATTTATTGCAGTAATCAATAATTTGTGAAAGAAAGTCATTTATCAAAGAAATATGTGTAGTATAAATGTTTAAAAGTCTATATAAAAAATTAAATTTTTCTTCTAAAATAAAAATAATATATACGTAATTATTCAATAAAAGATAAATAGGATACAATATAAATTAATTCTCTTGTTTTTTTCTTTTGTTTAGATAATTTTGTATTTCATATTATATCACATTGTGATAGTCCGCTTGAATTCCATGAAGAAATTGTTTTGTGAACAATTCTTTTAGGTGCTTTTATCTAATTAGAGATAAATTAATTATTCACTTCATTAAGCAATTACGTAGTTTACTTGGTCCTCGTATATAAATGTAAATTTATTTACGCATGCTGTAACATTTTCAATGATAAAAATAGAATTAACTATATTGATGCATTCGCGATTGCTTGTATTGTAAGCACGAACTAAACATTGGTCAATTACGTGAATTAAGTACAGTGAAAAAATCTATTCCTACATAATACATACATACATATATATAAACTTTATGTATTATATATTATCTCAATGAAAATGTTGTACAGAGATAATATAAATTTTTTCGGGATATATTACAATAATAGAATCGTAACTTAATAATTGTATGAATACATACATTATATTTACATCTCACTATCAAACTAACAATAAGAAGACAACTTATCCTGACTTATAACTATTGATTA